AGCCGGGCCAGCACCCACCCCGTGGCCCCGCCCGGAGGGACCCTCCTAGTAGCAGCCCGGGCTGTCATCCGGATGCTCCGATGGAGCCATCACCCATTCCCAGGCCCAGGCTAAGCTCTCTGGGTGCTGCCCCGCGGCGAAGTGGTTGAGCGCAGACCTATAAACCGGTAGGTCACGGTTCCATTCCTGGGTTGTGGGCTTGATCCCCAGTAGGGGGCGTGCAGGAGACAGCTGATCCATGATTCTCTCTCATCATGGATGTTTCTATCTCTCCCTCTCCCTCTCTGACATCAATAAAAAAAAATAGTTTAAAAATAGTTTGTAATACTTTAAGCAATAAAACAATAAAAAAAACGCTTTACACCTAAAATAAATAAATAAATGCTCTTTCAAAGTTGTGATTATGGTGGGGGCTGGGGGAGGGGAAGCTAGCAGACTGAGGCCATCGGTCTGTCTCCCGTAGCCATGACGATACTCCTGGATCAGGATAGGAATACCCAGGGGACCAGGCTATGGGGGGCCGTGGGGGACATGGGGTTACGGCCTGGAGGCACTGGGCATTGGGCAACGGGGAGGCCAGGGAGGGGCCCTCTGACCCGGCGGTTTGTCCCCCGGGTAACGAGTCTTCCTGGGCACCTGGTCCCTGCCAGGCTCCGAGCCGGCCCGGGAGTGGAGACCCGGTTAGCGCTAGGCAGGTGAGGGACATGCCACCAGGTGTCCCTTCTGAGTCCGCTCAGCGGGGGGTGGGGGATTAGGCGGCACTGTGCCCGGAGCCTCCAGCACCTGGCCGTGGACACCCCACCGGCTGGGAGCGACAGCGGGGACCGCGGGGCCTCTGCTTCCCCCTCAGGGGAGATTAAGGGGGATTGCGCTGGAACGCGGCCGCAGGACAGCCCGGAAGTGGGGAGTCCTCACACAGGTGGCGAGGCTTCGAATCAAAGGGCCGCCTGCTCTCCCTCAGAAAACGCCCCTTTCTCTCCCCCTCCATTTCCCCTTCATCCTCCCAGGAAATCCAAGCATGAAAGCCGCCGCCCAGGGCCGCGGGGAGTTTGAAAGGACAAAGAAACGTTGGAATCTCGGTGAACAATCTGAGCTTTCAGGGCGGAAGCGGGGCTGCAGGTGCCTCCTGTGTCCCAAGAGGCGGCTCACCTGAACCGGGGGCCCGCCACCTCCCCAGTCCCCACTTCTCACATGCCCACTGCTCTGTGATCACTCGGCCTGGCCCGCCTGGCGCCCTGAGACCAGCTGTCTCCACCCTGAGCCCACCATGTGCCCTGAGTCCGGCTCCCTCCGCCCTGAGCTCACCTGGCGCCCTGATCCCGGCTCCCCCCGCCCTGGGCCCACCTGGCACCCTGAGCCTGGCTCCCTCCACCCTGGGCCCGCCTGGCGCCCTGAGCCCGGCTCCCCGCCCTGGGGGCAGCGCAGGGGGAGGCCAGCAGCTGTACCTGAGCACCTCCT